GGAAATGGGAGACTAGAGAAGAAGCACAGCTGAAGAAGACATTTAGACCGTTTGCCCGCCATTGTTCATTATTCAATTTCTATTTTTATTTTGTATTAAACTGATTGTTCAATTCAATTTGTGATTAGTTTGTGTGTTAAAAGGAGCATTCACAGGTCAGTTGAATAATTGTTATTTTGGTTTTCGAGAGTTCAGTTATTTATACAAGTATATATTTTTCATTTTTATGTTTTTTTGTTTGCTTATAACATTTTTTATAGCATGTGTATTGTTCATGTATTTAAAACTCAGATAAAGAGTAAATTAAAAAACCTAAGAAATTATGTTTTCTATTTTGTGCTGAAATTTTGATTTTTGGTATTCAAAACGTACATCAGGGCCCTGTTTAATTTACTAATATTTTCCTACCCTGACGAGCGGATATCCTAGAAAACAAATTGAAATAATCAATCTAGAAATTTTGGTTCAAAAACAACTATAGCTGAGTAGCTTCCTGAATGGGTCCTCAGTACCTGCTGGTGAGACTGGCTAACTAACCAAAAAACTCTTCGGTATTGAATATAGGTTGTGTTGATTGAATGTTGTATGTGGAATTAAAATTTTAGCGCAAAGACAAAGGATGGTACCTAATTTAAACTTCTATTGGATTATTGAATCATTGACTTAAATTATTGATCATTGATTAATAACCCACAATTATTAGTAAAGTGACACAGTATGTTTCGATTTTTGAGGAATTGAGATCGAGGGTTTCTCTGCTGTGCTCTTTCTCCTCTTGAATTCCAGGACGAGAATGGTACGATTTACTTTAATAATAAAGTAGACGTTCCACAAATTTTTCGTTTCTTTCACATATCACAACCTTATTTAAATTTCCCAAATATTTGCTATCGGGTCTTCAGAAAAAAAAAAAAATCAAAGATTGCTATGGTTTTTTAAACGTATGTCTTAGCATAATTTTCCTTCAATTTTGTCAATGAACTTTAATGTCAAAACTTCATGTCAAAAAACCTGACCAATAAAGAAACAATAATGCGACGTACGTTTTCGTAATCAAAGTAATCTTCGATTGGTTTTTTTCTTTGAAGACCCGATATGTCGGGCGCATGTCAAGAAAGTAAAATTGAGTAAGTTTCCACAACGTAGGTCCTATTTGTTTTTCAGAGGATTTGTTATTTTCCTATTTTGCCTATTTCTTTAATAAGTGTCATAATAAACAATACCAAGTGTATTTTATAAGGGTCCATTCTGATTATACCTCAATATGCTTTCAGTTGTTTTTCTTTTGATATGAAAGTTTATTTTATTTGTTCTTTAAAAAACAATAAATTATTAATACAAATTAATATGTATTTTTTTCTATCGCAAACTGTGCCTCAAATTTGTACATAGGTATAATATTGAAAGTATGTATAATAGTAATGCGGCAGGTTATTTCGGAGTTTGCCTGCTTCATATTTGGTGAACCCAAGATTGTCTTACAACAGTGTAGGCAATGTCGGAAATATCGACTAATTTCCGACTTTGCCTAAAGTGGCCCGGCAATGCGGACTTTGCCTAGATAAACCTAGGTATGACTGTATAACGGGCTTTGCCGGTAACTTTGATATAATTACATTTTTACTAATTTCCATAAACCATATTATATATTTTATGTCATACCAGTACATTATTGTGTTTTTATACCTTAGATACCATCTATATAATTCATTACTTTATGCCCGTGCGGGCATAAAGTACACATTATAGCCCGCGCGGGCATAAAGTACACATTATGGCCCGCGCAGGCATGACATAAAAGTTTGTATGCACCACGGGTACTAATAGATATATACCCTCGGGCAACTTACGAACCCTCGGGCCAGAGGCCCTCGGCTTTGTAAGACTGTCGCCCTCGGGGCATAATCATCTACTTAGTACCCTTGATACATAAATAACTAATCTGCACTCACATCATTTGTTGGTACAACTATAATGAATACTTAGTTTTTTAATGCCAATTATTGCTCTTCTAACAATGTGTTTTGTTAGAATTACCAATGCTTTTTAAATAGGTACCTACCTACAGGAGATCAACAAAAACAATTTCAAAATATTTATAAAATTCATTTTGCAAATACAAAACCTACGTAGTTATAAGTATTAGTCATAATACACATAAACGTAAACATTTATCCTTTAAATATAGGTATTTGGAAGTGAAACTTAAAATCTAATTTTTAGAGATCATTACAACACTGTTCTTGAAAATATGCATGTAAACTTGAGAAAATAGATCTACAAAAATATTTGGAGTATTATTGCCATCACAAAATTATGTTTCTAGCAGTTCCTTACATTTGTTTTTACTATATATTTATTTAAAAATCTATACTTAGTTACCTCAGCAATGATAATATTTGTGATTCAACAATAATAATGTCAATAATAACTTTATTGTTATTCTACTTATTTGATATATTTTCTTTTAATCCGCATTACCATACATTTTGGTATTAGGACAATAATATAAATGTAACTAAGTATGACTGCTGATCTAACAATGCCCTTTTTTTTAAGTGTACGCTTTTCGGTTGTTGTAACCGACAAAAAAAAAAACTTCGTTCATTATAAGATATTCTATTAAACACATCTATAATATACAGGGCGTTGCATTTAAGAAAATATAATGTAGGCTTGTATGTCAGAAAATTGATAGTGTTTTGTTTTATATGTAAGTTGAAAAAAAAAAAACTTGGCTATACTAACCCTACATTTTGTTTTTTTTGTTTACCTTGATATCTTTAAAAACAAAAAAGTTGCAGGTGTGATCAAAATGATATCGAAGATAAAAAAACACCCGGTACCTACTTCACCTCGGTATTATCAACCTAAACTGTGTAATTTTTGTAAAATTGAATTCTCCGATTAGGTAAATTGTAATCCATTTTAGAATGTTACCGTGATGTATGAGAGCTTTTCATTTATGTAGCGGATGTTGCCTTGACGAGCATATTTTAAACCTTAATAAAATCAATTTCTTCTGGGACTCCTCCAGCTTTCTGGAACAAACTGGTCCATCATCTGTTTGCTAACCCCTTCTTGATAATATCCACTCTCTGATATTTTTTTGGGTCTCACATCCCAATGGAAATTTTTACCACAAGTTTTTTGATATCCAGGTACTGAATTGGGCATAGACGTCTTCTTGATGTCACCTTCTATGTTTGATGGCTGCCGTTTGTCGAGTCTTATTTTAATTCTGGTACTGCATAGCCGTAGTCTCTTCCGGATGCAATCGTGAAGTCACCCGGGAGATCAACCACAAAATGGGAAAATAGATTCGTCTTCATCGGCCGATGTTCTGCCAAATATCAGATCTACGAGAAGCTTGATTTTTTTCGTAGTCAACAGCATTGATGTTGTATGCTCGTTGGACTTATGCTGAGACCTTTTATGATCCAAAAGCTCCAATTGAGAATCCGATTGTGGAGTTCGAGCATTCTGACAGACTGTGGGTGAAGTAGAGTCGTTCTGGTTTTCCATATTTCCATGAGTAACTTCATTGGTTGTTTCCATACGTCTGAGTGAAAATTTTCCTTATGATCAGTATGAAGTTCTATGAGTACCCCGTGCCTGGCTTTGACATTAGTTATGTAGAATGGTTCAGCAACTGGATCTGCTACTTGATTATGGATTAAAATTACTTCTGGCCAATTAGGAAAATAGTTCATAACAACCTTAGGTACTTATTTCTCGACTTTTTTGTAAGAAAAGGATCTGCTATAACAGGGGGAAAGATACAAGTATTGCTCTATTTTTCCACAAGAATGCATGGTCCTTCATCGGAAGCACGGAGGTCGCATCTCTTGTACCTCTCATTCGAGGAATTATCCTATTGACTGCCAATTGGTTTTTATTTCGACTAGGTACCTAGTGTATATTCCATAGTATTTTCTCCACGATACCTCGTGGCACAACGGTCTAATGTACTAGGCTTTTTTGGACTGCTCATATGGACTCCCCCATTTAGGAGTGATATCATCTCATAGGCAAAACGAATCTTATTGAAGCCACTCATCATTTGACCAAAACTGGATAATTCTTGCCATCGTAGTTGGCCATCCACGAATTATTCGCATAATGATCTTTTTCAAAGTCTTGTTTGGTAATATCTGTTTCAGAATTTGTTTTAGTTCCGTACTTGGCCTTTATATGTTGAACACAATCAGAATTTCTGGCAGCCACCTTTTTCCCCCGACATTAGCAAAATTGCGATATTTGATTTGGCATTCGTGAAACAATTTCGTCGAAAATTCAAGTAGAGTTCGATCAATAAATACGATATACGGGTTTTAATGCAGTCTCTCTATTTTAAACAATATTATTAGCAGCAATAGCTTTAGCATTATTCCTTCATAAATTGATTTAAGCAGGCACCATTATTTCGACAAAAACAAGCAAAGCTAATCTTATCCATTTAAGAAGGTATTCTGGCTTTTATCTAAAGAAAACTTTGTGTGCCAAACAAAGCAAACAACATCATAGACCAAACTAAATCCATTGTTTAACTATGAGAGTACAGAAGCTTTTCTTGTCTTGATTGTAACATTAAACCAGCGTTAGTTGGCTTCTAATTTCTAACAAGCTATAAACAAAGTTCATGTTCTCTATTTTGAAGTTTTATCTTGGAACATCTTTTTGGCCAGGTGAAACTGAAACATTATAGGGGAAAAGTTTAAATTAGTTAGCGAGTGAGAAGTTTTAATTGAGAGTTCGACAAGAACTCCGAAATAGGCGAGAAAGTTTTTTTTTTTCTTATAACTTAAGGGCTTGATCGAAAAGTCTAAGATCAATATTAGTTCCATTTATCTTAACTTATATAAGAATATTATTGACTAAGATTTGACTTTTATAATGTTATTACTTTGGGACAGAGGAATAATGAAACTCGTTAAATTTTAAATTATACAAAATATGGTATCAATATATTAAAGTATTCATCTGCAATCCTATTTCAGCTGGTGTTGCATCTAATTATTTTCACAACTTCAAACATGCAATGCAAGAAATGTGCGGCCTCGGAAAATTGGTACTTCCCGATAAAGACACAGAAGTTGTAAAGTACCACGATAAAAAGTACGAAGTGTTTTTGAAAATGTACGACCATCAAATGGAATATCGACGGATTATGGGGGACGACGTTGAAGGATAATTAATATATTTAATAAATCAAATTTTTGCTTACCAGATCTTTAGTTCTTTCCAATCTTTGTCCGTTTTTCCACCAGGTTATCGTCGCTGGAGGTCTTGAACCAGTACTCTGGCATAAGAGATCATACCTTCTTCCCGCTGATAGGGGCTGATTAGGTCCTAGTAGTTTGACATCCAATGGACCAACTAGAAAAATTTATTTAATTATGTACGTCAGCATTTCTGTCGCTTCTATACCTCTCACATTCAATCGTTAATTGTTAAATAAAAAGTGACCTATTTTTTTTTTCTCCTGGGTTGAAATTTATCGTTCGCCTTGTCTAATTAATTTTTTTTCTCAGCGAGCGTGCTTGTCGTAGTTAACTAAAAGCTTTATGGAGTCTCGTGAAACGTGTAGATGGCATAGGAGAGACTGATGGTTTCTATTACTAAAGTTAGTTATTACGTTCAAATTAAAAAGTCTTCAAGTACCTACTTCAAAATGACTTAAAAATTTGCAAAGCCAACTTGTTGGGGTGCGCGCCACACTTGGATGATACTTGAATCGTATCTACTATCCAAGTCCAGTTGGATAGATCCTAAAAAAGTCGGTTGACACGGTCCAAGTGCACTTGGATTACAGCCTACTTAGTTGGATATTAGAACCTATCCAACTGAACTTGGATTGAAAAGTTGATACGATCCAAGCGAGGCGCGCGTAGCGTTCAAGCTACTTAATCCAAGTACACGTGGACCGTGTCAATCTGGCATAAGTAGGATGGCTGCCAATTTCTTGGTCCAAGTGCACTTGGACCGTGTCAACCGGACTTTACCGGTTTGAGACATCGAGCTCAAGTATTATAGGTTAGTTTTGAAATGGGAAGCAGCTATCTTGAAAATAAATTTCAATTTGAAAAAGCAATTGAGCGACATCTCATTTTGAAGGTATTTTTATTCTCATTAAGTAAATACAGGAAGAAGAAAGAAGATAGCGACCTGTTGAATTTTTAAAAAAACAAAACTAAATCAGAAGGTACCATTCCGCTACATATTAGTGGGTTTTTATTGGGAATTTATAGTAAGCACAAATTTTTATCTTTTTATAGGCCTTTCACCGCTTTTTAATAAAACGCTGCACGGTAATAAGATAATTTTTACTGCATCATAACACATTTTAAAATATCCACCAAAAAGGTTTAATAAAAAGAAGACCGTCTTCGTTTATTCATATTTATAGTATTCATTTCGCCGTGGAAAGATAATCTAGTTTAGAAAGGTATTGTGGCTGCGGATCCAATAAAAAGTTAAATTGGTTCTCGTACAAAATATGATTTTAAATTAAACCCTGGCAATAAATAAAAGTACCGTTGCTCATTTTTATTTGTTATCAAATAAATAATAAGACTAACTTTTATTTTAAATTGGACTCGAACCCATACGTACTAGTATAGCGGAAGAGTTTTTGACTGATAATATATTAATACTCACAGTTCATATCTACATGTAATGTGGCCGCATGAGGTGGTGTCTTGTCATTATTCACAGCCTGGCAAGTTATCTCGGAGTGGACATCTTTCCTACTAAGATTGGCTATTTTTAAGTCACTTCTCACAACTCTGGAATTGTTTGGAACTTGCGTGGTTGCTAATACGTGAATGTCGCTAGTGTTTTCAACTGGCTTATCATTTATGAGCCAGGTGATGTTCGGGGGAGGTTTACCTGCAAATGAAAGAGTTTTGACGTTATTGGAGCATGCAATTTGGAACTATTTAACACTTGTTTTTGAGTTCGTTTGTTTCCGTAAATTTGCGTTCGCCAATTTTTTTGTGGAAACCGATTTTTATTCCTATATTCCTAAAAAATCTGTAGGATAGATTTTTATTTACCCAGTAATGAAAGTACCGGGTGATTGTTTATATTTTGCACCCACACTTATCTCACTACTTTGAAGAGATACCCAGAAATGTCACATGTGAAAGTTGTAGGTAATATCAAAAAGTTTTCAATGATATTGTTTACAAGTATACAGGATGTGTCATAAGAGTGTGGGAAAGCAAAGTTATACTTTTTTAAATGGAAAACCCCGTATATTATTGTCCCATTAGATTAGCCTTACTGATTCCAAATATACTAGGTTTTTTAGTTTTATTCCTAATAGTCCAGGAGAAAATAGAACAAAAAAGGGTGGAATAATTGCATTTTTATTGAAAAATATGAAGTATAGAGACCACCAGCAAAATATAAAGGTAATCATTCATGTAAAAAATTCATATTATTTCTTCAAAATGGGATATTCAGGAGTAATGAGGTATGAGGAGTATGAGGAATAAACCTTTAAAACGTAGTATATTTGGAATCAGGTTTGAAAGGCTAATCCAATGGGACAATAATATAAGTAAATAAGATAAAAATAGATACTTTATCATTAGCCATAGCTAACAAAAAAAAAATTACAAGAAGTATTTCAATTCCTTATATGCTAGAATTATCAACTACGATCTAAGTCTCGTTTTAAATTCATTAATGATATTTGAATATTTTATTTCCTTAGGTTAATAATATACATAACTCGACCAAACCTTTATGAAACAGACTATTCTGTGCGAAAGCGGAGGATACATTTGTGATATAAAAATCAGATTTAGCTCTGGTATTGTACCTATGTATATCGTGTACAAATTGCAGTTTTTCTGCAATGTGATCTAAGTACATTCCAATTTTTATTTTATATATAACAATCATTGTATTTAAGAATATAACCTGCCTTACACTCAATAACTCTGTTTCTCTTAACATGTCTCTTATTCTTCCATATTTATTATACCTTAATATACATCTTAAAGCACAGTTCTGCTTTTTTTGAAGTATATCAATACTCCCGTTATTAAACATAAACATTATTGATGCGCAGTATTTAAGATGCGGCAATATTATTGCATTATAGAGAAGTTTTGTTTATCTACTTAGTTCGTTTCTAATCCTACATAACAGATTAGTTTTCCTAGAAATTTTCTTAGTTATATAATCAGCATGGCTTGAAAATGTTAGATTTCATCTATCATTACACCCAAGTATTTAAATTCCTTAACCTGCTGAATTTTTTCATCGTCTATAACTATATTAACATGGCCTAAGTTATCACTTACATTATATTTTGATTTTAAGATCATTAATTTTATTTTCTTAATATCTACACTAAGACTATTTTTGCACAGCCAGTCATACATTCTATTTAAATCCTCGTTAAGTTTCATAACAACTTCCTCAACGCACTTTCAACAAAGAGGACAGTGTCATCAACAAATAACTGCAGCTCACATTTTTTTACCACTTTTATAATATCGTTTATGTAAAGTATAAACAAATCAGGGCCCATTACAGTTCCCTGTGGAGCTCTATTGTTATTTAACATCAATGGAGATACCACATCATTAAATTTTGTTTGTTGTGATCTTCCCTTCAGATATATTCTGAGAACCATTTTATTACATTTTTCCCAAAACCATATTTCATCAACTTACTAATTAGAAGGTCAATATCTATAGTCTCGAATGCTCGACGAAAATCCAGAAAAACCACACATACGAATTTTTTTTCACTAATTACTTACCTACGGTTTTCCATCAAGAAATCACTGTTTGTAAGGCGCTTTCACAAGAGTGTTTCCTCCTAAATCCAGCTTGAAATGGAGTAAGAATTTTATTGTCATCCACAAATTTTCTCATTTGATTACTTACAACTTTACAACTGTTTCTACTAGGAGCTTTTCGTACGTAGGTATCATATTGATTGGACGAAACTCGTCACATTTGTTGGTTTTACTGACTTTCTCTATTGCGATTATCACTGACGTTTTCCATTCTTTGGGGAAGCATCCTTTCGTGATCAATAGCTTCAAATGAGATTTTTAGTATTTTTGTGTTGATTCCTTCAATACTACTTTTTTTTGTCTTTGTAAATTCTAATGTCTGAAAGTTTTCAAATTTGTTTATTGGATCTTCTATAGTTTTCAATAGTTCTTCGGTATCTGCCATTCTTAAATCCCTCACCAGAACATCGATGCTGTCTATAAAGTATTGATTTAATTTTTGTGCAATTTTTGTATTGTCATATTCCAATTGGCCTTCAAAGATAATCCCTTTATTGTTTTTGCTTGTATTTCAATTTTTAATAATACTTCTCAAGCTTTTCCACATTTCTTTAGAATCTCCCCTGCATTCATCAAATCTTTCATGATAGCATTTTTGCTTCTGGTCTTTTATTATTTGAACAATGCCATCCCTCTTTGGTTCGTAATTATTCCAATCTTCTATAGCCTGAGTTATAATTGCTTTCCGATATAGTCTGTCACGTTCTATGCTCTCTATTTTTATTTCTGGTAACCACCATCCTTTATTGCCCCATCTACTGGTTATCTCTTTTTCTACAACTGGTGCATGTCTGTTTAGGTTTTCCATTATGGTTTGCACCAGACAATTCGAGTTTTCATTTATGTCCCCATTATTCAATGGCCATTTCGAATTCATAAGGTATAGCTGATATTGGAGTTTGTCAAAGATTCTCATATTTCTATAAGCTACTTTATATTGTTCAACTTCCACTGATGGAAGCTTCACAGTGAGGATGGAATGATGAGCTATTTTTGGTGTATGATATATTTGGTGTGTAACTTCCTTATCATTAGTTATTATGAGATCAATTATTGTAGCGCTGTTGGATGTAATTCTTGTACAATTTGGGACATTCCACTGTATTATGTTCATTAATTTTCTAGAATAGAATGTTTCTTTTACTAAATTTATGTTCAAGTCCCCAAATAAAATAAATGTGTCAGGTTCTAAAGCATAAATATTTAAAATTTCTTCCAATTTATCCAAGAACTCACTGTCACTTGAATTTGGTGAGTGATAAACATTTAGGATGTTAAATTTTTGGCCATTAATAGCAATATTTATTCCTATTAACCACATATTTTTTTCCACCACTTTCTTCATGACGATTTTAAAGCGTAACTTCTTTAATGTAAATTGACGCACCT